ATTTTACAACCAAGTTTCCTAAGTCAAATACGTATCAAGTTAGCCTTTACTTAGAAAATTATGTTCCGTTAAGTGAGACACATCATATGTGCTTTATTAGCTATATTCTTATGTCCACTGTCTCCTATAGGAAAACTTTGTTTAATGAATTGTAATCAATTTGCTGTCGGGGGTGAATTTCAATCTGTAAGTGATTATACTAAGGTCTAATGTTTAGCTGATGTACTAATGACTTCTGTTCATTGTTGAATTCAACGGGAAACATTATTGTGTGTTATAGAGATAGAATAAATAAATGCTATTATAGTTTTTAAAGTTTTATCACTTCAATCTTCAAATTCTTTCATTACAAAAACTAAGATTATTTTTGACTCTCTTTGCATCTTTTAGAACACCAAACATTAAAATTCTTTCATTTTAATCTGTTTCTTGGTGTGTGTGGGGGAGTCCTAATCTTCCATAGCACCTATATTTTAGGGAAACTCATTTTTCTTTTAACGTGAAACAAACTACCTTCCCAGGCAATTTGATTACGTAAAGACTTTGATTAACCACAAAAATATCTTCTAGTTGGAAGTAATTTCCAGTTATACTTTTGGACATGTTTTCTTTCTTGTCATGTGTTAAAACTACTGTTGATTTATATTTATGTTTTGAGGTAGAGATCCAGTGAGGATTATTTGGATCAGGGGGAGGGCCAAGAGAAAATCTATATCGTTGGTGAAAGAAAAGCTGTGGCTTCAGTGATAGATGGTGGATACAAAATAGATGGTGTATGGTTTGTTATGTCTACAGACTCTCTCCTCTGTCAGAGCTTTCAGGAAGTGATTTTTATCTACTTTATTCTTAGAACCACCATCATTGCCAAGGGCTTAATTTGGAATTAAATGAGCCTTATGCTTAAGTAATTTATTCTCATTAGTCTGCCAAAAATGAGTCTCATGATGGGTGTAATACTCCAAGGCAGAATGTTTACATTTTTGTTTCATTGAGATTTACATATTTCTTTTCACTTTCATCTATGTCCCTGAAAACCAGAGATAGGAAGACTCTATTGAGTCTGCCTTCTTCAAGAGCAGTTTTCTGTGAACCCTGCAGGGAGGGAGGTGGGGGGGAATTCTGTGTGAAATGGAGTAGGTGCATTTTGCTTCTCCCTTGTTTTTCATTTTTTTTTTTTCTGAAAGAGGGTCATGGGAAAAACAATGCAACAACAACAACAACAAAAGCAAACAGTCAAACGAAAACATTGCACCACTGGCATCCACAAAGGTACAAGCACCAATTATCATGACAAGGTCTCCTTATTGGTTGAATATTTTTAAAAGGGAAGTTTTGGATCCAGTAAACACAAATGTAGGCCTACGGCTTCTGATTAAACTTTGTGTTACTCTACTGCACCTGTTTTTATCACAGTACCTTTCTCTATAGCCCAGTTCTAGAGGCAGCTTAGGTGACTATTAGCAGATGAGTGGGGTTATACACACAACTTTCACACTGCCATGAAGAGTTACGGAAAGTATGTCATGGTCTGGCGAGTGCACGCAATTGAAGATCATCAATATTAAAATATTTTGGACTCAGACAGATTTTTGAAAAACAGTATCTTTTTTTGTTTGTTTGTCGGTTTTCCACGTGGCCTTTATATAATATGCACATTTTGCTATATGACTTCACCTAGCCATGCTGCTGTACACTAACTTGTTTTATTCTGTCTTCAATATCATGTAGGAATTTACATTGATTGTGTACACATGTACAGTGTGCATAATTTTTCTCTTAACTGCCATATAGCTTCAGATCATAAGGGCAGAGTACCCTTTATTACTATACTGGTCTATTGAAGTTTAAAAAATTATTTTCTGGTTTTTTTTTTTGGCTTTATGAGGCATTACGTTATTACCTTTGTGTTTAGGACTATACATTTTTTATTTTGTTTTAATTTTTATTGATTACACTTTATTCACTTTATATCCCCCCTGTAGCTCACTCTTCCCTCCCCTCCCCTCCCAATCTCTCCCTCCCTCTCCCTTCTCCATTCATGCCCCTCCCCAAGTCCACTGATAGGGGAGGTCTTCCTTTCCTTCCTTCTGATCCTAGTCTATTAGGTCTCATCAGGAGTGGCTGCACTGAGGACTAAACACTTTAAATTATCTTAGGTGTTACAAATACACGTTACCGACTTATAGGTGATGTGAATTTTAATATAAGTTTTCAAGTATTCCACCAGTACTCTACCATATCTCTTTTATTCAACCTTTTTGATTAATCTTTTAACATAATTTCAATGGCACTTATATACAGTTCTTGTTTTTTAACTTTATTTGGGGTATACATTTTCACTGTAAATTTTTAAATAAATTGTGGTTTTATTATCTTATACACTGTTTTGTGATTCCTGATTAAGAGATAAAGAATTTTCTAGGTCTAAGTCCCATCTTCAAGTTGCAGTATGATCTGCCTATTTCATCCCTGAATTCTACTTTTTATAATTGTCTCACAAATTTTTCGGATCTTTGAATTCCTGACTCGTTTATTAAGAATTTAATTTGTCTTAGAGCCTGGGAGCATGGCTTACATTTTGTTATTGTTTATTTAAAATTCAGAAAATCTTCCTTAAATATTCATGTAGTAAAGGTCCAAATCTCAGCATTTTCAGCATTGACATAAGAAGTAGACTGCAATTATGGATGTAGTGATTATTGGTTAGTCAACGCTGGCCACAAGAGGGCATCAGGACCCCTGATGTTGGAGGTCCTGGAGGAGGTGCCCTGCAGTGTGGATGCCGGGAATCAGATCTGGGTCCTCAGGAAGAGTAGTCAGTGTTCTTCATGAAGTCTCCTCTCTAGTGCCAGGACGTTGTGTTAAAAGGTTAGAGTGGGTTCTGGTCCTCCCAAAGTGTTCTGCAGAAAGTATGTGGCAGTTGGCCATGGGCATTTCATTATTCTTATGTCCTCTGTCTATACACACAGAGTTTTACCTGTCACAAACGGCAGGGTTGATGATGTGCTGGATATACTAATTATGTTTCAGCTACTGACTGGCTTTTTTTCTAAAGTTCCCCATGAAGGGTTGTACTCTGACTGTATTTAAAGTTGTCACGTGTGCCACCTCGGCTTCTTTGTCTGTTTTTTTTTTTGCTGGTTTTAACTTAATGTCTTTGATATCAACTCATTAGAATGTTTGTGTCTTGCCTATCTCACAAACAACAGTAGTAGGTAAATTGATACCCTAGACCAAGAGCAAAAAACAAAAATATCAAAGCAGCTGTTATGTAGCCTCCATGTATAGGTGTGGCTGGAGGTTTTTGATTTATTAGGTGAGCCCGAGCAACACTGGGAAATTTGCCTTTAGAGAAAAAAAAAAATGTATATATCAATACTTGACTCAATGAGATTTTCTGATATAAATTTGTGCACGAATCAGATTATAGGAATTAAATTAGAAATTAATACTTTTAAGGATCATGAAAAGAAAATGAAGAAAAGATTTAAAGGACCAGTGGCTGCAGAACAGATGGAGAGTTGGTTTTATTAGCATCATACTTTTTGCCACTTTTTGTAACATTCTTTAAGAAGGCATTCAGGGACATGAAAGCTGCCAGATGATACTTCAAAAGTGGTGGTGAACCCCACAGCCTTGGAAGTGCTTCTGTCAGAAGCATTTGAATATTGATTTGCTGATTCAGTGTCCCTTTAACAGTGCCACCTCTCTCCGCATATTTAGACCTCTCCATTGCATTAGAACGAGTGTGTATCAAGACATGAAGCTGTGATAACTGCTCCTCCTCCCCACTCCACTGCCTCTTCTGGAACTAGCTTGCTTGGCTTGTTATATTTATTTATTTTTAAAGATGGGCACAGTTATGTATGTGGGTGTTTGTCTGTATGTGTACACACACCTCAGAAGAGGACACCGGATCCCATGGAATCACAGTTATAAACAGCTATAAGCTGCCATGTGGGTGCTGTGAATTGAACTCAGGACCTCTGGCAGAACAGCCAGTGCTCTTAAACACTGAGCCATCTCCATAGCCCTGTTTTATATATTTTTAATTCGTTCCGGTGATTGAGCTAAGGGCCATGTGCTGACTCAGCAAACATGCTACTGCTAAAATGCATCCCCACCCTTGATGCCTCCGTTTTTTTGTGTTTTTTTTTTGTTTGTTTTTTTTTTTTTTGCTCTGACTGATCTTGAACTTATGACCTTATAGACTCTATGTTGGCCTCTATATTGCTGACAACACAGGGCATTACCACTCAGCTGTGTTTTACTCTGTTTAAAGGAGTTTAACCAGAAAATTCTTGGGCACATTAATATTTTTGTCTTCTCAGATCTTCTTTCTCTTATAAGGAAGTTCTTTATTAAAGCTTAGTTTGAAGACTGTGAACATTGGAAACATTATATTTGTGGGAGTGTTATTAGACATTGTATGTTATTAGTGCTGGTGGCAGTGTGAGTCAGACTTTGAGCAAGGAGATTTCAAACAGTTACATTGAAACTGCCATGGATGTGGCTGAAAGCCCCAGTGCCTTAGACCTCAAAGCAGATATGACTACTCTTTGCTTTCACTATTAAATGTAAATTATAAAATAAAAGGAGACACACCCTAGGTGCCCGCTATATCTCACAGAGTGCCAAGTACTATAAATCTGCGCTTTCCTTTTGACCTGACACTGAGAGGGAAATATATTGAATTCATTCTGTAGAGTGTAGCAGGTGGAAGCTTTGGTCATGGTTGTTTAGAAAGGGGAAGAAAGAAGGAAAAAAATTACATATCCAAGGTTATATACAAACTAGGATTCTAGTCACTTTTTTTTTAGATGAAAGTTTCCCTGAGCGTATTTAAAAAGAGGTGCAAATGAAGTGGCGATTTAAGTGCCCCTTTAAAATAGATCTCAGCTCTGATGTGAAATGAAATGTTCTCATGTTGCTATGAGATGAGGAAGAGGGTAAGGATGATGATGATGACGATGACTTTTCTCCCTTTCTTTTGCTTTCAGGGGAAGAACTTGTCTCTTTTTCTCAGCATTAGCTTGTTAACTCTCTGGGGGACCAGCCTTTTGGGTGCCCGGTTATACTGGATGGGAAACAAGCCACCAAGCTTTTCCAACTCTGACAACCCCGCAGCTGACTCGGACAGCCTTTTGGCTCGCACACTCACTTTCTTCTATTTACCTACTAAGAACCTCTGGCTATTGCTCTGCCCGGACACCCTGAGCTTTGATTGGTCCATGGATGCCGTGCCTCTTCTCAAAACAGTTTGTGATTGGAGAAATCTACACACTGTGGCCTTCTATTCTGGACTTCTCCTCCTTGCCTACTGTGGTTTGAAGAACCCAAACTTAGAAGGAGAATGCAATGGGAAAGCTGTGACAAATGGCAAGCAAAATGCAAATGGCCATAGCTGCCACTCAGATGTGGAGTACCGGAACTCAGAAATTAAGCCCAGCTTTGCACCCAAAGTAGAGAATGGAATTAAAAATAGTGTATCACAGAGAACTCAGCTCCCTTCCACTGAGAACATTGTTATTCTGTCCTTATCTTTGTTGATAATACCTTTTATTCCTGCCACGAACCTGTTTTTCTATGTTGGCTTTGTAATTGCAGAGCGAGTCTTATATATTCCCAGTATGGGCTTCTGCCTTTTGATCACAGTGGGTGCCAGAGCCCTTTATGTCAAAGTACAGAAAAGGTTTCTCAAGAGCCTGGTTTTTTATGCTACAGCAATGTTAATCGTCTTCTATGGACTCAAGACTGCGATCAGAAACGGAGACTGGCGCAACGAGGAGATGCTGTACAGGTCAGGGATAAAAGTCAATCCAGCCAAAGGTAACGCATCATTTCATAGTTTTCCTGGGCGCTTTCCGCTTTCAGCCTTCTTACAGTGGCGTTTCTTGCTTTAAAACAGTGTTACAGATGAGATCCATTTATGTGAAACTTGTACCTTCTATCCTGATTGTTGGAGAGACGTGTACTCAGCATTCCATGCTTTCAATAGAAAACTTACTTCCTTGTGTTCCTGACAATATTTCCACAGGAGACATAGAATTTGTGTTACCTGGAAATGAGGACTAACGTAAGAATTTAGAAGAATACTTACTGCCTTTATTTTAAAACATGAATAATATTCATCTCTTTTGTTATAAAGTGGAAGTCCGTTTATCTCGCTTAAATGTGTACTCCATGTCTTATTTGTCAGGCTTTGGCGGAGGAAATATCACAAGAGTTCAAGGCAAGCTGCCTCTGAGTCTCATTGTGACTTAGGCATGGGTATGATCAATGTAAGGTTTTCAGTGGTTAAATATGCTCATGGTTGCCAAGTAGTTAGTCCATTTTAATTTAAGATTCCTCAGTTAACTTAAGTGGAAGGGTTTTTTTTTTTTTGTTTTTGGTTTTGTTTTTTTGCTATAGAATAAGAATATCAATTGTACATTTCTTTGCTGCTTTTTGTATAGAAAAATTATTTTAGCCAATCTCAAAATTGATAGACATGGCAGAATCTGTTTTTTTGTTAAAACACAAAATGATAAACCAAAAGCTGTCATCACAGTTTAGACAAATTGGATAGTGATAGAAATGAGAAAAAGGAAGAAAAAAAAAGGTACAATTTTTAGTGCAGAAATACATCACAGTAAATGGTGCTTGATAGTCTCATTTTTTTTCTAAGTAATTTTACTTAGCCTTCAAGGTATAGCTATTCATACACATTTGAACTTGGATCTTTCTTCTGTTTCTGACACAATTCTCTGTCAAGATCCAAATGTCAGAGGAACAAAATGCTTCCAAATGTACAATCTTTTTCATAGGTTGGTATATGTTGGTGTAGATGAAGATTCTGAGAAGTGATTTTGGCATCCTTATCCAGTTATCTCAGGTCAAGAGTTCATCAAGTGTATACACAATTCTGTATGCCAAGGACTTATTTCTGTTTATAATTTTTAGTAAGATGCAGGGGTTAATTTTGAAAGAGTTGTTTATGTGTATACATGAATGCCTACATGTACTTATGTTCGCCATGTGCATTTCTGGTGATTGCGGAGGCCAAAAATGGGCATTGAGTTTTATGGAACTAGAGCTATAGACAGGTGTGATCTGCCTTCTGTGTGCTGAATCTAGATCTTCTGCAAGAGAAGCGAGTGTTCCTAACTGCTGGACTATCTCCCCAACCTGGTTGTAGAGGTTTTTAATGAGAATTGAAGGAAGAGTTGAGCTAGTTCATCCTATGCAGTTCTTCAGTTCTCTTTGGAAAAAAAAAACAAAACAAAACTGTCATGTGGTTTTTCAAAGTAGTGCATAGGGTCCAAACTGAAAACTTGTTCAAATGATTGCAGTTTATTATTATTATTATTATTATTATTATTATTATTATTAATTACAATTTATTCACTTTGTGTCCTGGCTGTAGTTCCCTCCCTCATCTTCTCCAAATCTTACCCTCCTTCCCTCTTTCCATTCTATGTCCCTCCCCTAATCCACTGATAGGGGAGGTCCTCCTCTCCTACTATCTGACCCTACCTATCAGGTCTCATCAGGACTGTCTGGATCCTCTTTCTCTGTGGCCTAGGAGAGCCACCTCACCAGGGAGGAAGTGATCAAAGAGCAGACAACCAAGGTCATGCCTGTGGCTGCCCCTGATCCCCTTACTAAGGACCCACATGGACACTGAGCTGTTCATAGGCTACATCTGAGCAGGGCGTCTAGGTCCTCCTGATGCATGTTTCTTGGTTGATTCATCAGACTCTTCAAGGCCCCTTGGGCCCAGAAGTTTTGGTTCTGTTGTTCTCCTCGTGTAGCTCATGTACCATCCAGGTCTTTCTATCCCCGCCCCCCCTTTTATAAGATTCCCTGCACTCTGCCCAAAGTTTGGCTATGAGTCTCATCTGCTTTGATACCCTGCTGGGCAGAGTCTTTCAGAGGCCCTCTGTGGTAGGCCCTTGTTCTGTTTCCTGTCTTCTCCCACTTCTGGTGTCTATTCTGTTTCGCTTCTGAATGCTTATCTTCCCTCAAGTCCTTGTTGTTTCGTTTCTTTCAGAGTATAGATTTTAGTATATTTCTATATTATATGTCTAATAACCACTTATGAGTGAGTATATACTATTTATGTCTTCTGCTCACACTTATGAGTGAGTAAATACCATTTGTCTCTCCTGATTACCTCACTCAGGATGATCTTCTCTAGTTCCATTACAGAATACTTTTTAGCTAGTTTTTCTTTGGTGGTCCATACAATTTAGAACAAATCTATGTTGCCAGTATATTTTCTTGTCATTTCAAACTGATGCATGTAAGGAATTAAACCAAGATCTGCCAGCCTATCACTTGAGTCACAATGTTGTTTTAGGGATTTATTAAATTTTTTGGCTAAATTTCATGCTAAGCTGCTGTTACAAAGGGCTCAGATAAGAGGTGCTTCTTTCATGTGGCAATCTCAATATGTGCAACTCAGAGCTGATAAGATGGCGCCATGGCTCTTTGGGATCCCTGTTCCACGTTTGTTCCCCTGCCATCTCAATGGGTCACCCTGCCCATATGGTCCAAGATGGCTCATTATCACATCAGCACTTCAGCTGACAGGAAAGGGGAAAGGAGGGGTGGAATGTGGGTATACCCATTCTCTTTGAGATATATTGAAGAAATTGTATGTACTGTGTTTGTCCAGAGACTATTGGCTGCATCTATCTGTTGGAAAGACAAAAATATTAACTATGGAAGTCAAATATCCAGCCAAATGTCATTGCTCTGAAAGACCAGGAAGGCACTATTCAGATGCCAAGGTCAAAATAGCCGTCTCTGATGCACAGAAAGCAGAAGCATTTTTAGCTACTTAGGTCATTTTCAGCATTAACTATTGTAATGCTGTTATGATTTTTATGTTATGTTATGTTATAATTTTGAACCCAGTGTTGTGGTGATATAGTTTTTATATTATATATATATATATATATATATAATATTTGATCATTTCTTCCCCACTATAGTTAACTATCTAATAAGCTTCTTGGTTTGTAATATATCTTCATGCTTTCTTTACAGCACTTGACAACTAGCATACAACTTAGGCCTTTTAAATAAGAGTACTTAAATGAATGAGCAGCTGACCAGAATTATTAAAAGTACTTCAAGACTTGGCCTACTAAGTTCCAATTAGCTGCCTTATCTGCAGCTCTCATCATTTTTACTTGCTGGTAGGTCCATTTCCCAGGTAGTTTGGCTGCGAACCCAAGAGTCATTCATGCCTACAGTCTTCCTTTCTCATTTCATATCCATCCCACCAGTAATTCCTTCATGCCGTGTCTTTAAGAGTATCTCCAGCACCTCACCATGTTGTACCACCTCCACTGTCATCCCTCTGCACACAGCTGCCATCACCTTTCACTCGGTCAGTGATTTGCAACCTTCCTAATGCTGCAACTCTTTAATACAGTTCCTTATGTTGTGGTGACCTTCCCAACCATAGGATTGTTTTCATTGCTACTTCATTACTGTAATTTAGCTACTATTATGAAGCATAATATAAATATCAGATATGTAGGATATGTGATATACAATCCCATGAGGATCATGACCCACAGTGCACTACAGTATTATTAAAAGATTCCCACTTGAATGTGTTTCCTTTGTTTCCATGTTCTTTCATCATGCAATTTTTTTATTTCAGGTCAGACACAATGGACTTTGTAACACAAGTGGAGAGTTTAGTATGGGATTTTATGTTCATTGAGATTGGAATTTTATTATATAGTGTGTTTGTTGCAGTCTTAGATCCCCAGAGATGTCAAATTTCTCTGGTGGCTTTGCATTTTGTCTCACTTACTGTCTTGGGGTCTCCCTAAAGACTCTGTCTTTGTATTTGCATATATTAATATTCTGTTGCTATACTGGGTCCTTTTATACATGTCTGATAGTGTTCTGTTATCTTATGATTGAATCTCATCTTTTATAACCATGACCTTGCTCCTCTTATTTTCTTGTGTTCCGCTTCTTGTTGAGACAAGGACATTGAAAGTGACTTGAGCCAGATGTTCTGTTGCAAATGTCTTAACTGGATTTAGTTATCTTTCTTTCTACTAGAAAGTACCTTATAGAAAGCACCTTATAAGAAGGTGCTGTGTGTAAATTACTTGGGGATGAAAAAGTTAATTTTATCATATCTAAGCCCACTGACCAGAATTGCCAGGTATGTCCTTGGTAGACTTGTAAGTCTTAAGGCATGTGCTCCTGGGAGACTCACCTCTGCTGCTTTCTCTTTTTGCCTTTTTTCTCCATATTTCAGGTGGTGGTCAGCTTTGTGATGGGAGTTCACTGATTTTCACTTTGCTTCAGTTTCCTCTTGTCAGGACAAAGGAAAGCACCTCATTTTCTTGAATGTCTTGAGCTGAATGCTGATTCTGTGGTGATAGCCCTTTAGTGTACACTTAGCCACCATCGCTATGGAATTTTGTCGGTACACGTACAGCATTCCATATTCCACAGTCTTCTACTCATTCCTCATTCTTTTCAGAGCGAAAGCACAGAATCACAGAGACGGTGTGTATGTCTCGCAGCTTTGCCTTCCTATATCCCATTTCAGTCCTGTACACTGCTTTGATGCCTTTGCTTGATAAGTTCTGACCACTGAATGTATGCCTTTGTCATTGATTCTGCGTGGAATGTGTTTTCTTAGATATTCTCAGTGTGGTGCACTGCATCTTCCTCATGTCTTTGATGAGGGTCCTACCGCCAATAAGAAGTTTTACGTGAATTTATCACCATTAAAATGGCAGCGGTGTCTCTTTATGCTGCCTCCCCTATCTTCTTTCTATTCTTTATGTTTCTCATAGCACTCCTCA